TCTGCATCCCACAGGGATGGGGTCAGGGAGCCTCTGTATCCCACAGGGATGGGATCCTGGGAGGGGTTGGGTTGGGTTGGGTTGGTTGGGAGCGACCTCAAAGGGCAGCTTGTTCACGGCAGGGACACCTCCAGGAGCTCCATCCAGCCTGGCCTTGGACACTCCCAGGGATGGGGAATCCTTGGAATAACCCCTGCCAGGGCCTGCCCACCCTCCCAGGGTGGAATTTCTCACTCAAACCCACCCTCCTGCACCTTAAGGCCGTTCCCCCTCGTGCCATCGCTCCACACCCCTGGGAAAAGTCCCTCTCTGGGAATTCCTTGAGCCACTGGGGATCACTTGGAGGCTTTCCCTGAGGAAGGGGCTGCAGCAGCAGCTCAGCAGCTTCTTTTGTGGCCTTCAAGCTGGTCAGCACACGTGGGTCAGCTGGACATCTGAGCAGGACACGTGGAATTTGTCCCCAGGGTCACTGGGTGCTCCCTGCTGGCCTTTGGAAGTGTGGGATTTGTCCCCAGGGTCACTGGGTGCTCCCTGCTGGCCTTTGGAAGTGTAGGGGAGACCTGAAGGTAGAGGAGGGAGGGACAGGGGAGTGTAGCCTGGAGACCCCAGAGCTATTTGAGATACTGTTCCATAGGAAAACTAGTAACATTCCTGCTGGGAATACTGTTACCACCCTCGGTAACACTCCCTGGGTAAATCCCCCCCTGTGCAGCCCCTGGTAAATAAATCCCACTGCCCAGTTCTCCTCCCTCTGCCAAGCCCAGCTGAGCCCTCTGGGGCTCAGCAAAGCAACCAACAGGAGCTGGACCTTGAGGAGCCCCGTGGGTCCCTTCCAGCTCAGGATATTCCACGGTTTAGTGACTCCTTAGGTAAGAATTCCTTGTTCCCTCCTGCAGAAAGGGGACTGGGCAGCGGAGAAGGTGATCGAAGTGCCCAGCAAGAAGGTGCAAGGATGGCTCCTCCCGGACATGCCTGGTTGGTGGGACCATGTTGGGAAAGGAATGGGATGTTCTCCTCATCAGTTCCCTGGTCCAGAGCAGCTTTTTGTCCTTAAATGGCAAAAAAAAGACCAAATTTGTGGGAGGGGGTTCTGAGGTGACCGGTTGGGGTTGTGCTCTGCTCCCACGCTGCTCCAGTGCTTGAGGTCACTTTCTCCAGAAGAATCCTTGGGAGTTTGGGCCTGAGGATGTCCAGGAATATACCCTGGGAATGCTGGTAGAGCCTGAACCTGCTTGGAGCAGGCCCTGGGATTGCAGGGTGGGTTGTGTCCCTCCTGCTCTCATGACTTTGAGCTTCTGTGAGCAGAGCTTTGACAGAGAGCAGGACTGGGGCTGGTTTGGTGCTGATCCTGCTGGCTGAGCCCTGGAATCCCCTCCTGCAGGTCTCATCACTGACATCCTGATCTCCCTGGACGACAGGTTCCTGTACTTCAGCAACTGGCTGCACGGGGACGTGCGGCAGTACGAGATCTCCGACCGGCGCCGGCCCCGGCTCGTGGGGCAGGTGAGGAAAAACCCCCCTGCCAGCCCCGGGAGTCAGCTCAGGAGGGGGGTCCTCCTCCTTCCAAGAGGAGAAACGTCCCAGTTTGCTTTGGCTCCGGGGTTTTAGCCCCGTCCTCTGCCTGTTCTCTGCCTGTTCTCTGCCTGTTCTCTGCCTGTTCTCTGCCTGTTCTCTGCCCGCTCTCACCCCTTCCCTGCCCACAGGTCTTCCTGGGGGGCAGCATTGCCAGGGGGGGCCCTGTGACTGTGCTGGAGGACAAGGAGCTGCAGTGCCAGCCAGAGCCATTTGTCATCCAGGTCAGTGTTCCCAACTGACTCCAATCCACCGGAAGATGCCCAATATTTAAAGGTAATTACACCTTGATGGCCCGGGCAGGCGCCACGTCTGGGCATGGCCGTGCCAGGGCCTCACCACCCTCACAGGGAAGAATTTATCCCTGATATCCAACCTAAATCTTCCCTTCTCAGCTTATAAAAAAAGCCATGGAATGGTTAAGGTTGGCAAAGCCCTCTAAAGTTCCACCACTGACCTGACACTGTTCCCACTGAGCTGCCTGTGGAAGGTCTCGGGGTGTGGGAGAACTGAAGGTGGTCTCGACTAAAACCTGTTGGCCACCAAAGCTGGGCAGTGGTGGGACCACCACCCCTGGAAGTGTTTGGGAAACGTGTGGATGTGGCACCCGGGCACGTGGTTTGGTGGTGCTGGGGGGAACAGCTGGACTTGGGGATCTCAGAGGGCTTTTCCAACCTTAATAATTCCATGATTTTATGAGAACAACTCCGGGAAGCTCCACATCCTTCACCTTTTTACCTGGTTAACTGTGGGAATTAAGTGGAACTCACCTGCAGTGACTCCAAGGCTCCTGCTAAGAAGGAAAAAGACTCCCAATAAAAACTGTTCCCTCCCCAGAGCTGGAATTTGACATTCCTGCCTCAGGAATTTCGGATCTCTCCGAGCAGGGCCGTTTCCTTTCCCCTTGTGGCCACATTTCCTTTATTCAGCTTGGCCTGAGCGCCTCGTCCTCCCCAAATTTCAGGGCAAGAAGGTTCCAGGTGGGCCTCAGATGCTGCAGCTGAGCTTGGATGGGAAGAGGTTGTACGTCACCAACTCCCTGTACAGCGGCTGGGACAAGCAGTTCTACCCCGAGCTGCTCCGGTAAGGAACCCTGGGCTCGGTTATTAACCAATTAACGAGGCAATTAACGCCACGGCCCCTTCTCCCACCGCCTGTTTCCTCGTGCCTTTGGCAGGGAAGGCTCTGTCATGCTGCAGATCGACGTGGACACGGAGAAGGGAGGCCTGGCCGTCAACAAGAACTTCCTGGTGGATTTTGGGAAGGAGCCGGACGGGCCGGCGCTGGCCCACGAGATGAGATACCCCGGGGGGGACTGCACCTCGGACATCTGGCTGTGACCATCCTCCTGGGGCTGCTCTGTCCCCTCCCAGAGCTTCCCAAACCTTCCCTTTATCACCAGGAGAATCAGGGCACCTGGAACTTTGCCCGCTGCCTAAATTCAGATTTCTCTTCCTGAACTCTCACTTCCGTCTCATTCCTGTGTCCGTGCACTGATGCCATAAAAAATCAGCAATAAAATCACCCTTCAGCTCAGGGGGAGGGGCATTTTTTTTTGGTCTTTCAGGCATTTTGGCATTTTGTGTCTCAAAGGCCACAGCTGTGAGGTCACTGTCATTTGTCTGACGAATTTGTGTCCTTTTTTTGGGGGGGATTCCGATGGAACTGCGAGTCTGCCCTTGGAAAAGGCACCTGCTCTGCCCGTGGCCAGGGGAGGGCAGGCTGCACCTTCTCCATCAGAACTGCTCCAAGGACTGCCACTGCCTCTTCCTCCACCTGGAATTTCAGGTCCTGCTTTTCCCTGGACCACAAACTACCTGACAAGGATTCCACGTCCTCCTGACAAGGATTCCACATCCTCGGCAGCACCTGGAGAGCAGGAGGAGGGTCTGCAACTCCCACAGTTCCCTCTGGATTTGGGGAAACACTCAGGGGGAAGGAGAACTGAGAATTCCCAAGGGACTGAGGTCAGTTTGCCAACACATAAAGTGTAGGAGGAGCACTTGGGGTGAAACCCCCGAATTTACTGTGCCTCGAGTGTGTTCAGACTGGGCTGTCCATGGGAACTGGTCAAGCTGGAAGCAACATCCTGACACCCAGGAGCGAGGCAACCACTTCCCAAACACAAGGGACTGCCCTGGGCTGGCTCCCAAACCTATTAGAATCCATCAAAGGGAGAGAAATCCCATAAAAACGACGGGCTGGGAGAATCCACCCCAGAAAAAGAACCAAGCAAAGACAATTCCGACCAGAAACCTGCAGGAGGACAAAGAGGGTCCCTGCCCAACCAGGGTCCTGTCTCAGGGGTTTTCCCAAGCCTGATCTTCTCCCAGAGCCCTGCTGGGGCTTGTTTTCCCTGCCCTCCATGGGAAAGGAGACACGGGAAGGCCCAGCTGATGCAAGCAAGGGTTTTATTGGCGTTGAAAGCAGGACAAGAGCAAACCA